ACAGGAGGGTTCCGACACTCACCGTCCATACTTGGCAGCTGTGGACTCAGACCACTGGCTGGAGGCTGAGATGTCCTCATCAGGGATGTGCCCGCCTGACATTCCCAAGGGGTACCGGCACACCGCTGCAACGAGACCAGCAGGGCACTGAGAGAACATCCCTCCTTGTCTCTCCATCTGAGATATGGGCTGAAACATGGCATGGCACTGCCAGGGCTGGGGCACATCCACAGCGCCACAGGCACTGCAGCCAGGGCAGCTCAGGCGCTGCACTCTCCATCCCTCTGGCTTACAGAGCGGGGACAAAGTGCAATGGGACAGTCCTGCACAGCCAGACACCTGCCTGGGCAAATGGAGCCACTAAGCAGCAGCAGATGCCAGCCCAGCTTGAAGAAAAGCTGGGAGCAAGGGCAGGCAGCACTCCAGGGGCAGCTGGACGTACCTTGTCCCCGTCACTAGGGGTCCCTTCAGCCTTGCTGGCAGGCATTTCAGCTGTGGTGCAGGGAGAGCCCGTGGGCTGGCACCACTGTCCCCACAATCTTCATTCTGGAGGCACCCAGAAGGCTCACTCCAGAAGCCCAAATAACCTACCCACAGCAACCTGCTCTCGGCCATGCTGCCCCGCTGCTCCCCTCATCTGCCTGAGGGAACAAGTGACAAAGGTGGGCGCTAGCTGACCCCGCTAGCCCTGTGACTCCTGTTGCCAACCATACTAACACCTCAGTCAGGAGTGGAAAAGTACCCAGGGCAGCAGGCGGGCTGCATCCCCGGGCGGCAGCCGGCTCCCCCAGCATCGCATCCACGCTGCTTCCCAGGAGTTATTTTTTCACGCCTGGCTGCCAAGAAGGCTGCTGAAAGGCTGGCTTGTTTGGCCGTGTTTACTGTCTGGCCGCCGGCTCCAGCCCGCAGCACTCCCTCCGCACACCGCCCCGAGCAAACACCCGCACTGAGGCGGCAGGGCCCAGGCGAGGATGCAGTGCCGGGGCCAGCTCCTGTCCCTGTGGCCTCCAGTTGGTCTGGTACTGCACTTGTAAGGAGCCCGCGTCCCAGCGTGTGGTATGGCCTGGCAGCTGGCTCCCATCTCTTGGTCTCTGTGCCACAGGGACCATCTCCCGCATCCAACAGAAGGATGGGGGCATCTTCAAGCATGAGCACTGGCACAGCAGACAGCATCTCTTCTTGTCTCCAACTCTCCCACTTGTGGTGCTCTGCAGAATGCAGCTCCCACTAAATTCCCATTTAATTCTTGCCAAACATGGAAACAGCCTGGCTCCTTTGCCTTAGGTAATAACCACCCTGGCCAGGCAAAGCCAATGCTGCCAGTCCTAGGTGGGTGCAGGAGAGACAGGATTGCTTCCCTAAGCACCATGCAACCTCCAGGGAAGACCCAGCAAACTCTTCCTATGGATGGAAAAAGCCTTTGAAGGGACTAGTTGCAGGGGTGCCCTGGGGAAACCCTGATGTGCTGAAGGAGCCTGGGCTCTGTGTCCATCCTTGCAGTGCAGGAGGGAGCTGAGCCCTGCAGAAACACCCATTTAAGCACACTTCTCTCCCTGATGTCCAGCGCAGTGTTGTGGTTTCTGAGCAGAAGCCAGGCACCTAGTCAAGCTGCTTTACTAAAGCCAACCTTGGTTTGCTGTGAAACCGCCAAAGAAAGCATGTCCTAGCAGCAACAAACAATGCCCTGGCGCCTTGCCTTCTGCATGCCGCAGCCTCAAAACCGAACGGGCTTGATGAGCCCCTGATGGAGAAGGGTGCCACTCAGAGCCCAGGATGCAGTTGTAGCATTTTGCCTGCACCCCAGCACCCCACCAGCCACCAGTGGGGTCCCGTCATGGGTTCCCATGCCAGGTAGAGGATGCCCTCTGGATCACCAGTGGTGGCTAAGCCCTGATCATCACACACTGCTTCCAGAGCCAGAAAAGTCCAAGAGATGGTGGAGATGATGTGAGCCCAAGCTTAGATGCCCTGGCAGGAGCACAGCCTGGGGAAATGCACCTTGCAGCTCTTGCAGCTGCCTGGTCCCCATCATCTCACTCACCTGGGTTGACCTGGGCTCTCACAGCCCACGGGACACGCAGGAGCAGCAGCAGCAGCAGGCCTGGTCTGGGGGGCACAGGCATGTCGGCAGTCCTGCGGAGATAGAGCCAGGCCTTGTCACGCTGGGGCAGATGATCCACGTGGGAATGGCAGCCCCACTTGGCCGGCTGAGGGTGGGAAGGCTTCCCCTGCACAGTACCCTGTGTCCCCACCTCAGCCTTCAAGGGGAAGCAGAGCCCCAAGCCTCATGTCTGTGACGGTGGTCAAAGGAGTCCTGGTGTCCCATACCCTTAGCCACTATCTGCTGGGAGCCACAGCATCATGGTGTTGCACTGATGTAGCCCCAGCACAGGCTGGTAATGTGGCCCTACCGCATCCGAGGAGCTGGCCACATGAAATGGCCACAGGACCCACATGAACATCCCAGGGCTCTGCTTGGGGCCAGCACCATCCAGCACCACCAAAAGGCTCTGGCTTGGCCACCCGCCCTCAGGTGGCTTTGAAAGCAACGCGCTGCACAACCCCATCATATAATAAAATAATAGCTCGTTACAACATGCAGTTTCCCTGCCTTCCGGCTTAAGAGAGGTAATAGCAGATAATCGCCCAAGATTCATGGCATATTTATTCTGACAGTTCTTCATGGCAGAACAGACCTCAGGGACATGGATGGCACAGAAAGGTGTGACAGAAGGCACGGGAGCCTGCTGGGGAACATAGGATGAGGCTGGAGGGGACCTGGGGGTCCTGGCAATGGGGCTTGGGCTGCAGTGAGGGAGAAAAAGGGCTGGTGCTGGTGAGGCTCCTCAAAGAAAGGTACAGGCACAGCATGAGGGGATCTGAGTTGGCTCTGCTGCCACAGGCCTTTTGCAGGGCAGTGGCCGTCGACTGCCAAGAGCCTCCCAGAGCCTGCGCAGCTCCTGGGGCACCTGTGCACCTCTGGGGAAGTGCCAAGGAGTGCGCCGGGGATGCCAGCACTGGGTGGCAAAACCTGGTGTCACCTATATGTGACCAGTCCTGTCACAAGTTCCCTCTCCTTATTTTCCAAGGGGACATAGGTCCTCCTGGGACAGTCCTTCACAGAAGCACTGGATGAAGATTAGCCTTTTATTTAAAAGCTAATTTTATTTAGCTTTTTTATTTAAAAAGGCTATTTTAATCTAGTTTATGTGCACACTAACCTTTGCAGGAACAGCTCACTACCCTGGGGGTTAAAGGGAACACACCAGCATCCAAAGGCAGTGCAAAGCCCTGGGTGCTGCCACCCACACCCTGTCAGAGGCTCTCTGCTAAACACCAGAGCTCTGCAGGAGGTACAAATATGCACGTGGACTTAGGGGGATTTTTTTCCTCTTTTTTTTTCCTAATTTTTTTTGGAAAAGCACATACGTGGCTGCTTTTTTTTCTGCTCCCAGTTGGGAAAGTTTAGTTAGTTGCAGCTATCTCGGCTGCAACTGGGAATTTCGACTGCATTGCTGAGAGGCACACATGAGGCTCCTGTGTTTGATGATGGCCAGTTCCCCCAACATTAAAATCTCAATTTCCTTCTGCATTCCAAAAAACATCCAGAGATATTTTTTCCCACTATTCTTTCAGGCTGAGTAAACTCTTTAAGCATCAGGATACCAGATGCCGTGATGTCCCTCAGGGTATTCATTTACATTTAGCTTAATATAGGGAAATTATCCCCACACAGCCGTTGTGAAGTGCCCGTTGCTCCTCAGGGGAGCAAGGCTGGGGGACAGCGGGGAGACAGTGACTCAGGCACCGAGGCTGGGGGCGAAGAGACCCATGGTCAAACTGGCTAAGCCATGTTGGCAACCCAGCTGGAAATCATTTTTGTTCCACCAGCCCTGCAAAAGGGATGGCCATGCGACATTTTGTCTGAAAATGTTTGCTGAAAATTTTCAGTCACTGGAAATTTTTAGTGCAGAGGGATTTTGGAGTTCTTCCCTGGCATTGCTTGGGCTTGGGAGCTTCCCCTGGCCGCTGGTTAGTTGGTTTTTTTTAACCTTCTTATTTTCCTTCCTCCTTATTCTACTGAAATCACCAGGCAAAATTAGCGGGGGAAATAAAATAAATCCACAGTTGTTTAGAGACAAACCCCACCCGAGCCACGGTCCCTCACAGCCCCAGCCCACACCGGCTGGTGAAGTCCCCAGCTTGCTTCTCAGGTGGGTGCCACCATCCTAACCAGCACGGAGGAGCATTGTCCATGGAGAGGGGGCTGGATGGCAGCAACCTGCATCCCCCACGCACCCAGGTCCTGGACGTGTGTCCCCTAGGGCTCCTCTTGCTGAGCCCCCATCCTCACAGGGAGCTGGGGGCTCCCCTCCGGCTGGGATGGCGGGCAGGTAGGACACGCTGAGGCCACACTGGAGGGAATGTCTCTGAGCAGTGAGAGGTTCCCCATGACCCTGGACCATGGCCCAAGGCACATGGTGTTTTGGTACGGGGGTTCGGGACCCCCACCCCAGCTGGCACTACAGCCCCCGGCATGCTGTGTCACCAGCGCAGCCTCGGCAGGAGTGCAGTGCAGCATGCCGGGACCCGTAGTCCTCCTCCCTTCCAAAAATGCCATTTTAGACCTTCTCTGGGCTGGATGCAGCCCCATTTTCTGCAGCAGCAAGCACCTCCCCAGCTGCGGGCTGGTCGGCTCGGCCGGGGACATCACAGCTGTATGGGGTGCGAGGAATGGCCAGCAGGTCCCCACGACTGCCAGCTGCCCTGGAGAGCCCTGCCAGCAGCACAGCCCCTGGCCATGGGGCCCGGGGACACGGCTCTGGGAGTGCCGCACCCTGCAAACAAGCCCTGCCAGCTGAAAACTTGCAGCCCTCCTCCCTGCCCCACACCACGATGGACAAGTGTCATCGTGCCACGGTGGACGGTGTCAACCTGCCATGGCGTGGGGCTGCACAGCATCGCTCCACCGCGGCGCAGGGCTGGGAAGCTACAAGTGGGTCCCCAGCACCAGGACAGGGGGCAGGATGCTCAGATCAGTGACCCTGTGTCCCCTCCCTAGTGTGACCTGGTGGCTGGCTGGGGGACACCAGGGCCTCTCTGGCTGGCCCGCACCGCCACCAGCTCTGCCAACAGCCACAGCGGCTCTCCCAACAGACACAGAAGCGGGAGCCGAGGAGGGACACCGCGAAACGCTGCCCTGGCATGAGGCACAGGGGGAAAAGCTGGCAGCAGGGGGAAAATTGGAGAGAAGGGACCAAACGTCACCTCCCCAGGTGGGGACGCTGCCCTGCTGCTGCCCCAACACCTTCCCAGGCAGACCCGCACCCCGGCCCCTCTGCCTGGGCTCCACCGCAGAGCACAGCTGACTCCACATCCCCCCAAAATCCCAAGCTTGAGGGAGCAAACCCCTCCCCATGCACCCAAGAGCGACTCACCAGAGCGGAGAGGCAGTTGTGTCCGGGCGGGCTCCTCGCCTCTCGCCCGGGCCAGGGGAGCCAGGCAAGGAGCGAACTTTCCCGGGCTGATGCAAGATGCCTCTGGGAGCGCGCTCACATTCTGCAGATTCCTGGAAGCCGGCCAGAAATCCCACAATCCTGCATCTTGCACATTTGGTTTCAATTAGGGAGCGGAGAGGGGGAGCCAGTCACCAATCCAGGCTGGCTTTTCGGCAGAGGTTATTTTCCTCGGCCCGAGGGAATGTGTGCAAAGCTATAATTTACAGCAAAACCCATTCATAGCGCTAGAGAAAAAATAAGGAAAAAAAATCCCTGTGGCCAGTGAGAGGACTTAAAGCAATAGGCAGCATTTTGCTTTCTGGTGCTCATCCCCATGGCTGTGAGGTGGCATGCGTGTCTGGGATCCTCCTCCTGCACAGTGGGGTACAGGGGCCAGGCACGACACCCCCAAAATGCAGGTGATGGAGGTGCTCCACGAGGCCCCATCACTAACCCAGAGGGTCCCGCG